TATTTTTTTATATTTACTTTTTTACTTTTTCTTTTTAATAACTTTAAATTACTTTTTTTTTTATAATAAAGTTAAGATTTATTAAAAATAAAGCTATAAAATAAGCTTAAGAAACTTACTAATAATAACTTTTTCTTTTTCTTTTTTTATTACTACTATTAACTTTAGCTATATAATTTTAAGTTAACTAATAATTAATAATAAATTATTTTCTTTTTTTTTTTACTTTTTTACTTTAATTAAATTTATTTATATATATTTATAATTTATTATGTTTTTCTTTTAAGCTATTAATATTATCTAAAACGCTTTTACTAGCCTAAATAAAACTAATAATATATAGGTTCTAGAGTACTACTAAACTCTTTTTAAAGAATATTATATTTAGAATCTTAGTAATAATCTCTCTAATTTAACTAAATAAACCATAAACGTTATTAAGATACTATAGAAATTATAACATATATATCCTAAAGACCTTAAGCTACTTAAAAGGTTTATAGACCTAGCTACTAAAAACCTTATTACTTTACTAAGACCTCTTAACTATCTTAGTCTATCTAATTAGAGTAATAGACCTGTTCTTATATAGATTCTAAGTAATAATATATTTATTATAAGTATAATATATAATTATTAAAGTAAAAGCTTTTTATAAAATAGTTCTTAAAGAAAGTAAATAAATAATAAGTTAAAAACTTATTTCTTTAATATTTATAATATAGTTAAATATTTAGTTAAGTATTCTTAGATAGCCTTTAATAATATCTAAAGTCTTATAGTATTTACTACTTAAGATACTAAGGTTAATTACTTTATTATTAATAGCTCTTCTTAGAGCTATAATACCTCTATTGTAATAGCTAGACTTAATTAAAAGGACTAGATTTAAAAGGTAAACTATTTAGCGTTTATTACTTATTATATTAATTATTTTATTACCTTTTTTATTAATTAAGTTACTAAATAATCTTTTTAGTATAATAGTATATAAAAAAATAAAGATATAACTTTTTAGTATACTATTAATATAAACTATCTCTATAAGTTCTATTAAAGCATTAATACTACCCTTAACTTAATTAAGGTGATCTATATAAAAGTAGGTATTATAATTAGCCCTTAATAGCTTAATAAGTAAACTTATAGAATATATATAGTAGAATTTATTAAATACTATATTTAAAATAATATTATTAATATTATAAAAAGTTTAACTTAGATAAAAGTTTAGAATAATAATAGAAGAAATATTATTAATTATATTAATTATTTTTAGCGTTAATAGGTTATTAAAGAGTTTAGTAAACTAAGAAACTATAATAAAAAGGACTTTTATAATAAGCTAAGGCTTATATTAGATAGTTATAATAAGAGATTTTAATAAAAAGTATTTAATAAGCTTAATTAGACTAAGGAGAATATATTAGAATTCTTTAATACTTTTTTTAGAACTTTTAAGCTTATTAAAAAGATATTTTTTTTAATACTTTAAGATAATAATTTTACTAGTCTCTTTAGTTTAATATACTTTTCTTTAGATACTAGTGTACTATAAGACTAGCTAGGCTTCTTTACTATACTAGCCTTAGAAGGTAATATAGTAAGGCTATCTCTTAAGCTTAATTAGGCTTAGGATATAAATAATAAAGAAGAGGTTAATAATATTAAGTTTAAGGCTATTATAAAGCCTATGCTTCTATACTACCCCTTTAACTTTAAATAATTATTTAATATAGCTTTTATTATATATATAAAGACTAAAGGATAATAAAATGTTTATAAAAAAGCCTTATTTAATATATAAGAGTAGTGCTATAAGCTAAGAGAATATAAAGTTAAGTCTATTATTAATTATATTAGGAATAAATATATTAATATATTTAAGAACTTTTATAAGATAATAGTAGTATAATAGTACTTTTAGTAGCTATTTTTATAACCTATAATTATACTTAGATAAAAAGGTTATAAGTAGTATAATTAGGGATAAGAGTAGAATACTAAGTTTAAGGAGAAGTATCTTAAGGCTAAGAGAAAAGTAGCTTATAATAAGGTAAATAGCTTAAAATACTTTTTTTATTATTACTAAAAGAATATTATAGGTCTAATTAAAAAAGATATAATAAAAAGAATTAGTTTTTACTTTTATATATTATTTATTTTTATACTTTTATACTTTTTTTTTTTTTAATATATTATATAAAAAAAAAAACTAAAAGATAATTAAAAAAAGGTAAAGTTTTATATTTTTATTTTTCTTTTTATTAGCCTATAAATATAATTATAGGCCTAATTAGATATAACTAAATAAGACCTTTTTAAGTATAAAAAAGGACTTTAGTTAAATACTATTATAAAGATTAAGATATTATAATAAAATAAATAAATAAGCTTAATATTTTTAGATAAGTACTTAAATAAATATAAATAAATTTATTACTTTAATATTTAAATAATATATATAATAAGTAACTATTACTTTGTTTCCTTAGGTCTAACTAGACCTCTAAGGTCTAAGAGAGTATTCTCCTCTAGAGATTATAATATATATATATATATACTACTTAGTAATAAGAGCAAATCTAAACAAACTATAAGACGTGAAGGATATACTTTTCTGGTTTGCTTATAGCCTTGATTAGGCTAAGGAGGACCTGAAAAGAGTAGTATCTCACGGTCTAGGCGTTGGGGTAGTCACTTGGGGTAATCGGTCACTCCAGGTGCACTTGTGACGATACTGGGACCTTGGTGTTTGGTGTGGTTTGTGTGTCAACTGCCCACTTGCTGGCTTCCTTTATCCCACGCAGTTTCAATATAAAAAATATCACTATTACAGATCATAAAAGACATATTAGTCAGCTACAAAAGATTACAGATATCCTTTAGCCAATCACTAGAGGCAAAGTAATAGCAGGCCCTAATAAGCGCTTTGTCAAAATAAACTCTATCTATAAGTCCAAAAAACAAACAAAAAAAATCACCTTTAAGGCTATAAAAACAACAAAACTACAAGAAATTAAGTTTCTCTCTTTTCAGTATAAATTTTTATTAATAAAGCAATAGTAAATATAATGCTATAGCAATTAGCAATTAATACCCTCCTGGTTGCAGATTGCTGTACGAAATGAGGGGGTGTACGAAATGGGGGTGCCCGGACTTAGTACAATCCGCCGAAAGGGAACTTTCGGCAACAGGTTCAGCTTCCCATATTCATAGATACTTGAAAAAGGCTACAGAAGAAAACGTTTGGTTCTAGAGAAGTTTCAAAAAAAAAAAAAAAAAAAAACCCCACGACGAAATCAATGGCTGTGAGAATAGGCGGCCATTGGATTCCTGAACTACGGGCAATGGATCTTTAAAAGCTGCTCAGTGTTGTTCTCATTGGTGAATAACTCTTGAAATCCGCGATCTACATGTGTATCAATCCTTTCGTAAGATAATCAAACACCATGTTTTCTGTCTCACTTATCTGTTGGAAAAACCATCATCATGTTGACTGGGCGGGGGGCGTGAACTAATGGTGAGTACCAGAGGTAACGCAAAACTGTTGGAGCAACCGGTCTTCTCAAGGTGGAACCTTCTGTCTTGTGTATTATGTCTTATGAACAGGACGCTCTGAAATGGTCTGTAGACTTGCGATCCGTTGGATGTCTTGCACGCCGAGGCCCAAAAATGTGCATTGCGTTACCAAAGAGAGTATCTCCTTAGCATTTGGAGACAGCACCGTCCTCAGATCGGGTAGTAGAAAATGGCTAGTCCTTGGACGTTTGGCTCTCGAAAGAAGAAAATGAGTGGGTAAACCGTAACGCCATATGTAGTAAATTCCGCAGATCCATTTACTATGCGACGACGCAAAAGTTGTAGCACTTTATTTACTCCCAATTCTGATAACCGGTGAGTTCCCTTCACTCCCCCTTTACTCAAGATGATAGAGTGGTCCCAGTTTGGCATTTCTCTGGAAGAGCACATATCTCCTCACAACCCAAGGTAACCATGTCCTAATCTGGTATGCAGCGTGCCGACGAGTGGGAACACCAAAGATATAGTCAAGCTCTTCCAGTGTACGTTGCCTAAGCAAATGGGTCAGTCACGCTAAAAAAGGAAAAGCACAAACCCACGGACAACTTGTCCACTTACTTGGTTTCTGGTATGATAAAGAAAATAACGATGAAAGCAAGCATGTTCAGACCGGCGTACAAGCCAAAAGCACCAGTTGGACCAATCCTATGCAGTAGCTCAGGGAACGTCAGAGTAAGAGCGCTGCCAACTGCATTGTTCACACAGATTGTGAACGCTGAGCCAATCTCTCGGTGAGATAGTGGAAAAGCCTCCGAAAAATAGATTGACGGCAAAGGACCAATACCTGCTGGCTATGAGCTTCATTCCATTTAGCGTGTAAGGCACTGTTTCTCTCACCAGGTCCATACATGGCCGCAAAGAGGTAGATAAAAAACGCTATCAAGGGCACTCTGGCGCTTGAAGTTTGATCCATAATAAAGCAAAGACCTGCTGCAAGCAAGCACCATGCCATATTGGGGAAAGTGACCAAAAGCAAGTTTCTACGACCAAAGGTATCCATCATGTACACTGCCGGAAACGCGAAGACAAACATGACGAGACCAAAGCCAATGGATGCAAGTAGGCAGTTTTTTGTGGAGTAGCCAGCTTGTTCGAAGTTTGTCGAAGAGTAGAATGACATGATGTTGATGCCGCTGAACTGTTGAGAAATGACGATCCAAGATGAAGCAACTGTAGCTCTGCGTAGTCGGGTGACAGTGAGCAAATCAGTCATGCGTTGCAGAAGACTCTGACCACCGAAAGCGTCCTTCTCTACAATGACTTGCCTGTGGGCGTAGTACAGGTCCCTGGCGGCCATCATCTCAGTATTTCGTAAGCGGCAGAAGGATTTGAACGAGTCTTGATAGCGGTTTTTCTTCATTAACCAGCGTGGCGATTCTAGCAGTGGTTAGTCGCTCATGACTTGACAAAGCGTTCGTTCACGTACCAGGACAGAACCAAATGAAGATTAAGACTGGGATAGCAGGAGCAAATGCGGCCCCTAGCTGGAATCTCCAAGCCAATTTTCCGACGCGGTACCAGACCAAGTTGGAGCAAAAGCCGACGAAGATGCCGAAAGCAACCCATAGTTGAAAACTAGTGACGATCCCACCTCGCACAGCAGCCGGGGCAACTTCGGCTGAGTACACTGGGATTGTTGAGATTTTGACGCCCATGCCTAAGCCCATGAAGAACCGGCAGATCAAAAGCCCCCACCAGTTCTGTGTGAAAGACTGGGCAAGAACAGGAAACACGCAGAACAAGCCCGTCAAAAAGATCGTTCCGCGGCGACCGAGACGGTTGTTGATAGGGTCCGCGGCCCACGCGCTTAGGAGGCCGAATAGAGTGGGCCCGGCGTTGATGACACCGACGAGTGCCTGATTATTTTCAATGCCAAACTCTTGCGGAAACGAGAGGTTCGCACCGTTGGCACCCGTGTTGTCCCATCCTTGGATAGCGGAGCCAAGGGAACAGAGGGCAATGCTCCAGTAGAGGTCCCGCGGAAGGTGCCACTTGTGAGTGACTTCGCGGCGGAGGACATTCTTGTCGTCTTCAGTGAGCTCACCAAAAGACTCGTATGTCTCCGGGTTCTGGGCTGCAAGGGCACCGCGGAAGAATACGTCTTCCTTATCTTGGAAGCCAAATTCGTGGCAAAAGCCTGCTACCTGGACACGCAAGTCGGACTTGGAGATCCCGAGGAGAGGATTGCGGACTCTACATGTATGGCTTTTGGTCAGCTTGTGTCTGGATGAAGGTGAAGGGATGGATTCGTACCTAGCGTCAATGTTTCGGGTATAGTCAGCGTTGCTGTGCTCGACATGGCTAATATCAAGTTTCGACTTGACGTCGCCCTCGACATCAGATGCTCGAGACATGGGATATTGATACATCACAACCAACCAGAAGATAGAAATCAAAAGATGAGGAAGCGGGTGTATAGTCAGCTTGATCATGTGTCGTCACGATGGATTCACGAAAGCTCTTTATAGCCAAACCTCTCTCAGTCCCGGCATCCCTGCTCCCAGGAACATTCCCCATGGGGTCGAGTGCCATATTCCTGGGTCTTCGTCATTAAAGTTAGACCTCCCAGTGTCGTTGGCTGTTGAACGGCTCTAAAGAGATCCTCGACCTGCCCCCGTGACCGGAATCCGATGCCGCGATTTCTGCACAAGGGTAACTCCTGTTGGTATTGGTTCAAAACGGGACAAGTGTGGGGCTGCCCTGTGTGTGTCCACAAACCGGTCGGTTTTGACATAAGACCAATGCGCGCTAGTTGTTTGCCCTGTACAGGACATCACCGGCGGAATCGTGGTTTCAAATCTTGCACTTCCTACCCAGGGGTGTACTTCTTGCTTTCTGTTGTCAGAGACTTTTCCCCTAATTTGCCTCTTTGGCACATGTAAGCTGTTTTCTCTTGAGTTCAATCGCGACTGGGTTCCTTCGGTGTTTGCTACGGTACACTCAACACATCGACACTGCCAGAAACCCTTGGAAATCCTTGAACGGCTAGAAGTTTCAAGACTAATACCATTGCGCCTTCTATCCGGACGTGGAGGAATCAGCGAATGGGAACGACACTCGGGCATTTACCCCAGAGTATCCTCTTCGTTTCCAGTCCTTTCATACTAATGTTTGATCGGACGATAGACAAGGACATGGCCTCGATCCGAGTGCGGGGTTCTTGCTGCCCTGCATGTGTGCATTCGGTGCCCTTCGTGTGTACACCCGCTGCCAAATGTATTCCGCCCTGAGGGGTCTCTAAACTTGCGTTATCATTGGCCCAGAAGGTTTCGGAATGGGACCACGGAAGAGTCTAGTGATAATCGTGGACCTTTCGACACACGCAGGGCAGTGACAGCCGTTTGAAGTTGCCGGAATAACTCCAAAGTAAGAAAAAAACAGTATTAAAAGAGGTCTGCGTTGTGCTACAGCAGCTGAGGCTTGTCCCCTCCAAGCCAGAGTCACCGAAAGCCAGAACCCAAACACAGCATAACTTTAAGCTTCCGATTGTGTATATCTAACAACATGGGAAGTCAAGGTAGCATGACATGGCTTGACAAGCTAGAAGAGCAAAGTAAGACTTTGGAAATATCTCTTACTTGGACCCTAGTTGCTGACTGTGGACAGTCAATGTCGATGTTGACTGGATGGACCCTGATTATATCAAAGGGATGCCTATTGTTCCTCATGACCAGACAAGCAATCAGCTATGGGTTGACATACAACTCGGTCACCCATCAAACAGGGACCTCTTACTCAAGACAGCAAATGAGTTGAGAGACCAAGGATGGCTGGCCATATACACTCGCATGGTAGGTTGCAACAAATACCGTACCACTCGTGCCACACTCGGGACATGAAAGCTGACCTGAAAATTTCCAGGCTGTACTCATGTGCAAGAAGAACATCGACTCCATTCAGGGCCGAGTTCTGTTGCAGACGCTACCGTCTAACGCGTACAAGACGCAGGAGACACTTGACCACGCACGTCTCTACGACCGTGAATTTGCCCGTGCCGGTATCGGACGTGACAGATACTGCATCAAGATCCCCTCGACCGGACCGGCCCTGAATGCGGCAAAGATACTGTCATCGGAAGGAATACCGACTCTCGGGACAGCCCTATTCAGCCTTCCCCAAGCGATTGCGTGTAGTCAAGCGGGCATGCTGTACATCAGCCCGTATTACAACGGTAGGTCAGCCCTTCGCCTTGCATTGAACCACGTGCTGACCAAAGAACAAGAGGTACGAGCTCACGATGAGCCGGACACCTTATGGCCTAATGTAGAGGACCCGGCTACCCAGCATCCTATGTCAGCACGGATCGTTCAAATCATTGAGACGTACAAGCGACTGTACCGGGAGACAGGACAGGAACAACCCTTCGTGAAAAACGCCAGGTAGGTTCATGAGTAAGAGAAGGTCCTTGACAGCCACCGCTAAGCAATCGCTTCCAGCTTCATCTCCGCCAAGGAGGCCATGGCGGCTGGAGAAATGGGATGTCACTCGGCGACCATCTCGCACAGCGTCCTTGACGAACTGGCCAAGCTCCATTACGATGGTACCAAGCAACCTGGTGAAGGTGTACCTAAATCCGTCCACGTTTACAAGGACGCCGGGCCAATCTCAGATCGGCTGAAGAAGCTCGTCAACATAGACCCCTTGGCAGCGGCTGGGTGGGACGGCAAGCTAGCCAGGACGGACATCGACTATCTTGCGAACGGGGGCGCCGGATTGCAGAATGCAATCGAGGCGGATCCCGTCACTGTGACTCGGTTGGCGGATGCGCTGAAGCTTTTCATCGGTGGCGAGAGGAGTAGCCAGGCGAAGATTGACGAAGTTCTTCAGCATATATGAGCTGTTTAACAAGTAGAACTGATGTGTGGCGATGCGTTGCAGTTGGCTCAGTATGAGATTACACTAGTTATGTTTAGACTATCCTTGCCAAGACGCCCATTGCTGACCTTGTTGAAGGGATGTGCCTTGGTTTAGATGCGTTGCAGTCAGGTACCCAGGTGAAATCTGTACGGGTGCACCAAACGACCCCGTATCAGGAGGAGGAAAGTCTGTCGAGTCCATATTTAGAAGGGGCATCTGCTGGTGTAGACCAATGTCCCCAAAAATCCGATAGTCGTCAGCGTCGGATGTAGTTATGAGTAGAGAATCTGATGCCGTGCTTGATACCAAAGTGACTTGATTTGGTATCGTAATGGGAGGTTCTGCAGTAAATGCTGCTGGCGGTGCCCGAGTGATTTCAGACCAGGATGGGTCAAGCAGAAGGCTGCCCAAATCCGAGATGGCGCGTGCATCGTGAATCGGCTCCGTAGGCATGATCCGGGGAACGTAATACGTTTCCGCGGCTAGTTGGTCTGGTGTTGTTCCGACGTGATTGTAGTCGTCGGAAGATCCTTCATTTTGATCTGAATCCCTTTTCGTGTTATTCAGACGACTAGGCAACGCACGTTGCCGTGCCTGTTTCTCAGTTTCGACCAGACCACCAACTGTAGAAGCGCATCTTGGGTGACGTGGGCTGGTACCAGCGCCTCGCCTCCATCTATTAACTTCAGCTATTAACTCATCTCGTTCTTGTATCAAAGATCTAATGTCACGTAGGGCGTCGATGCATCGGCTTTCCAGCAGTTTGTGACGAGCTATGCTCTCATCTACTACAACGTGCTTTGAAAGGTGCCTAGGATCCGTGTCTGCGAGGACGGGAAGCTGACCAGCGAGTTCCTAGTGAGTGAAAATGTCAGTAAGCTGCTGATTACCCAAGTACGGAAACGTGGCATTGCATTACTGTCAAGCGCTCCTTGAAAGCCTCGCGACGGCTCTTCTCGAAGATCCGATGCGCCGCTCGGTCTTCGGAGGAGAAGTTTCTGACGCGTTTTTTGGTCAACTTCCTAGGCGGAGCCGTCTCGTGCAGCGTGGTCGAAGCCATGATTGCATATGACTATCTGAGATAGCTATACACAAAAACGGCCTTCATGCAGATTCAAGTAACTGTATGCCTCGATGAATAGGTTCTTAAGAATGGAGATGGTAACAATTGACTGATGAATCAGAGCGAATTTCGTCGTGAGGGGTTGCAGTGTTGATCGATGCTCGGATGAGGAGTAAGACCGTCGTCTGATCGATGCCCGAGGAAACAAAGACGGCCCTGGGCGGCGTGCCTTTGCTTCCCCTCCGAAGTTGCTAGCAAGGATCCCCCAGAATCCGACGGATGTATCATTGCGACCCCCCCGCATTGGAGCTTCACAGAAACTTGACAACATTTTAGATTGGTTTAGCAACTGGTTAGTCGAATCTCGACCAGATTGGTGAACCGACACAGAACCGTGTGCTTTTGATTGAGACAAGGAAACGACTTGAGAAGTTAAATCTGCATCCGTAACGCATCGGAGGGACTGAAGTGAATTTGACAAGCGGACTACGAAACTGCATAAGGGTAAGGCAACTTCAGTTACACTTCGTGACTCCATCATGGGGGAAAGCGAGCATCATTGCCCTGTTTCATGGATCTTTGTTACATAATTACCATCATCTATGCGTGGATGGTGCGGCGTTCGTATCAACAGGAAAGAAGTTGAACAGATCCGTCGTTAACACATCGAAATTAAGATCAGAGAATGGATTCATCACCGGCCCCGCACCAGATACCGGCATGGCATAGTCCGTCACGGGCTCAGGCTGCGGACGATACGCTCTGTTGCTGAAGAATATGAGGTCGTCCGAAGTGGTGGTGTTGGCTCTGTTCTCCTCGAGCGACGGAAACTGAATGTTGGTCGGGAAGCGATCATCTGACCACATCGGCGAAGACTCAGTGGATGCGACGTCCAGAAAAGCGCCTTTTGATTTTGACGCGTTGATGGATTGCTCGACGGCCCATACGATACGCTTGATGGAATGGATAGCGTTGGTGACTGGCTCGTCTCCGATAAGGGAGCGCAGGCAAAATATGGCCATTTGAATGAATTCGAGATTATGGGGGTGCTTTGCAGGGTGGCGTAGACTGTCGTATAGAAGGACAGCACAGGAAGACTCGATAAAGAATGCGAGGTACCGGCGTGTCTGCAGGCTGATATTAGTCACTTCAACGGCCATCAAGGTGGAGAACCATACATTGCACTCTTCTGGGCCCCGAAGCATGTTACTCGTAAAAGCGAGGGCATCTTGTGCGGCATCAGTGGCGTGTCGACAGGCTTGTCTGAGCCAGATATCTCCCATTCCCCCTGATCCCTCTCCAGACAGAAGTGCAGCTTCCGCAATCAGGAAAGGCCGGAATACCAGGAGAACAACATGGAAATAAACTTCAGCACATCAGCATCTGACTCGATCGTGTCACAGGTAAGCCATAAGAATGCTTACTGTTGTGTAGAAGTAGACTCGTTTCAGCGTTCCATGCATCTGTTCGCTGGGCAGAAGCCGCAGAGCCCAGCCCCCATTTATCGCCATGTTGGCGGAGTTGGCTGTGTAGTTTCTCAGCCTTCCCATAGAGCTGACGGAGTGAGTCAGTTCTCCGATTGTATATCGATTCAATGGCTTCTTCAATGACGTTGGCGAACTGGCAAAGAGCCATCAGGGTTGGTTGGCCATCTGGATATGGGCAGCTGTCGAAGTCCGACTTTTGCATCATACTTCGTCGTCCAACTACCAAGCTAAGCCAACTGGTTTGCCTTCTTGTCAGTCTTCCTGTTCAATACGCCTGGGCTTCAATTATATGGAAGCAAGAGCTTACATCTCAAGGAAATAAAGAGACCAAAGCGTCACAAGCCTTCCCTGAACTTCCTCTTTCCGGGAAATGGCACTCGTTGTCCCTGTATGCAAACCCATCGCCAGAGCCTTGCGACATGCAATACCATTGTGCAAATATGCAGAGTTCGGCCGTCCCATATTGAGCTGATAATAGGCCATGAGTATTGAATATTGTATCATTGGCAGAGTGACGGCATCCTCGTAGATGACGGCTTCTTTTTTGGCATGGACGAAGAGTGATTCCGCGGCATCTGTTTGCGGGGTGCTTAGGGCTCCTAATGCGAGAGCCGCAAGAAGGACTGTTTTTCTTTGCGGTTGGATGGTTGCATCTGCGGTATTATGAAACAGCACCGGAAGCAATTCGTCCAGTTCGCGATGGGTGAAGAAGGGTAGGGTCAAGAGATGGGTGTTTTTGAACTGTTCGACAAACTCCTTCGCTTGCGCTGGTGAGATTGGACAGGATGTGGGCTGCACCGGCTCAACATTGATCTTCAGCGGCATGCCGAAAAATATGTTGCGTTGCATAAACATATCCAAACCCGGTCCTCCCTCCTGAACATCCCGGGCGTGGCTTTGGCCATATTGCCCAGACAGAAGACCTCGGTGAATCTGTTGCAGAAAGGCGGAGTTTGACGAAGGCCCATAGAACAGCTGCGAGCTGTCAGTAGACTTCGGAGCATGATGGGCGGCGGCGACGCTGTGGTAGACTTCAGTCTGCGCGACGTGCTGTTGGTGTTCCTCCGCTGATCGATGAGAGGTAGCTTCATCCCGGCGGCTATGCTCAGAACCCGCCGTTAGCACGCCGTGCGTCGTCTCGGCATTCGTAGCCGCCGTTGTGACCCGCTTCGTTGACAACCGCACGCGTGGTTTGAGTCGATAGACGCAGTCTGATGGTTTGCTCTCGCATTGACGACAGGGTTTGTGGCCGGAACACTTGATTTTGCGGCGACGGCATGGCTCGCAGGCCTTGGGAATCTTGCCGCCGAACTTGCTGTTGGACTGCATTCCGGTAACTCCGAGACGCGCGACCCGCCAATGCAACTAGAGAGCGAGAGCCAAGGTTTCAAACACGGAGGTGAAGATAACTCCTCAAGTCCGAGAGACACTTCAGTGGATTTCGATTACGGAAGCAGCAGTTAAGGATGATGAACAGAAAAAAGTGATGAATTTCCCCTTGGCAGTCGAGATGAGAGGATGACGTAATCCCGTAATTCCGCAATGCCGTAAGTCCGCAACACCAGCTGTGCCGTTTGGGTCCACCTGCGTCTAACAAGAGCACCCGCCAAACAAAGCCTGAACCATGAGGGGTCGACATATTAGAGATCCAAGGCTGCGTATGCATTCAGCAGTCCGAGTGTAGCACTTGGAATATGAGTCCCATTGGCCTGATTTATGCGTCTTCGATGGGCTCAGGCTTGACTAACAATCCTTCAGGCTTACTACCCAGTAGATCCTCCCTTTAGTCATACGAGTGCTTACTAAGTCGCCAGTGCGTCAAATACGGGAGCGAAGGGGCTTCACCATTAACCAAGTCTGGTCTTTGCTGTTTTAGGTAACAAAATCGCCGAAACACTGAACAATAACCCAACTGCGTATTCCCGGAAGCGCAGTCACCAATATCCGCCATCAACCTCTAATCTCTGTTTATGATTGCAATTCATGGCAGCAGGTAATGAGAGTGGGGAACTATCTAACAGCTAGGCGTACTTCAGCGGTCTGCGTACTCACTATACGTGCACACCACATCACACACCGGACTAGACGCCATAGACCGGGCCTTAGAGAATGACATCTCCATTTAGCACCAAGAGCTTTGATTGTAGCTTCTAATGCAGGGGGTCAGAACTAGATAACTGTTATCCGGATAAGAAGACGCCTGAGTTACAAATGAATCACTCAGGATGGAAACCTATAATCAAATACACGTAGGTTTGTTTTACTGACACGCAAGTCAAGACCTCGGTTTTGGTAAATACATAAGCTACGTGCCTTGTACCTCGAATCAATCCATCCATCTATGAACTATCTACTTCCCTCACTCGTTACAGGGCCCATCGCCTCGAGTACCTACTCAATCGTTTGATGTGGCCGTTTGACAATGAAATATGTCCATCCCCAAGAATCGGAGCGCCTTAGCGACCGAATTATATTTCCCGTGGTCCAGGGTAGGGTATGAGGATAGCCTGAAGACAAGACGAAGTCAGAATCACTTGAAGAGTGGTTTGGACGGTGATTAGCATGGACATGCCCTGCTCCAAACAACCTCTGCGTTTCTTTGGCTGGAGAGCACTTTCTTTCGGGCTGTCCGCATAAACTGTATACCGATATATGAAATTACTTCATGCCTCAGCCTTGCGATATTCTGTCAATATGAGCTGAGTCTTGAACTGTGTTGTGTTATTCGGGTTGAATTCATAAGTATGTGCCCGGAAAGGCATGGTTCCCAAGGGTTTCCAGTCGAATTCCGCAGCAAAAAACGTTTGAAAAACTCTCAGCCGCAGATATCAAGCAGAACACGTGTGCATCTATTGGAACGCTGTGTCGGTTTTCTCTGTTCCGGTATTTGTTTGTTATTACACAGCCAGGCTGTCAGCCGCGCGCAAGGCTATTGCAAGGCAACACCGCTTTCCCAAAAGCGCGCGCGCACCTCGCTCCTGGATCCACAAGCGAAACAGTATTTAGAAGCGCCTCGCGGCAGATTACCAGATAAGAGAAATAAGCAACTTTCAACCTAGTGAATTGTCCCCTAAGCGTAGTACAGCTTCGTGATTATTGTAGAGTGATCGTTTTGTTCAACAAATGATTCTAGTCGTACCCTTCTTGAGCAGGCATAGTTTTCGGCCCCAGATCAGGCCTGAAGCAATTACAAAAGCCATCGACCCTAAAGTTTCTAAGGCTGGCAGTGATTAACTGCTTCAACGGCGCTGCGAAAAGCTTAGGCGTCACGGTGTTGATGTCCCAACACTATAAACTTCGCATATTTCTCGAACCCTTCCAAACTCATGTCATTTGTGTCTTGACGACATCCTCACTTTCAACGACACTAACAAGCGGGCAGAAAAAGAAAAAGAAAGACGGACCACTAATATCCTAAGCAAGTCGTCACCTCATTCAAGCTACTTGGTTAAGTATCTCCCTCACTGGAGCCATTAAATACTAGTGTTTTATACCGTAATGAGTGGTAGTGTTGTACCTTGCAAATTTCGATTTTTTACCACTTGACTGTGATGGAGATGAGTGGAGTTGTTAGATCCCCAGACAAGATCGAGCTTTCTCCGACTACGCAAATCCTAACGGCCATTTGACCGAGTAATCGCCGAAAGGAATTGGTGACTGAAACATGTCGTCCGGTGTTTCTATAGTTACCTTTTCCCTAGCACTGCATATTTCTAGGCGACCGCAGAGGTCAATGCACCTGGGTGACTGATCTAAATCGACCATACACAACATTGCTGCTGATCAGTTACACGCGCAGTGTTTAGCCACACAAAGGTACGTCTGAATTTACTCATCTGAAGGCTCTCATGATGGCCACCGCCTCTCATGGGTGACATGATGGAAGTCAATTAGCTTGCTCTCAAATATTTTGCCTCCAATTCTCCTGTGCGTACCCGAACAATAATTTTCAAAACACTAATAGACGAGGAAAATGCCACGGTCAACGATGGGTTGAATGTGTTGTGTAACACTTGCTACATGCAGTGTATTTGATCATGCCTCGCATCAGCATCCGACGACTTACGCCACCGGTATCCCGCGGCGTCCGCATTGGCTTTCTTTTAAGCGAACTTTTCTTCGGGTTTGAAAGCCTGCAACTCTTAGATTTGCGGCTTGTTGTCGACGACTAGGACTTTCCCAGCGCAGACGCCCGCACGCGGGGTTGAGTGGGTCGAAACAATTGACAGCTGCTACGTAGGATAGCGCTTGGCCTTATCGCCAAGATGGCATCTTTGGCGATCCGTATTGGTCAGACCCCACAGTGAAAGTTCGTCCGTCAACAAGGTGACGGCCTGTGGAGAAAAATCCAAACAACGATGTTGAGCATCTGGAAAGAGTGATGCGTCAGCCAAAGAAATGGCGGTTCTATTTGTTTGCCCCTCAAACGAGTCCAAAGAGGGCATTCCGAGTTGATGAAGTGCAATTTGAAGAAGAAATATGGGTGATGCAAGGCGCCTACCCAATGACAAAACCCACTACATGCAAGTCGTGAC